TGACCATGGCCATATCCACCATGGTCCTTGCCACCACCATATCCGCCATTATCTTTGCCACCACCATATCCACCGTGGTCTTTGCCACCACCGTAGCCTCCTTTGCCGCCATCGTAACCGCCTTCGACAGCGTTCTCAGCTCGTGCGGCGACGTCAGAGTCGGAAGTCTAGTTTATCACATAAAAATTCAGTCATATTGCCCAAGTACCAGAGAGCAGAGGCACCTTACCCCTTCAGTCAAGTTCTGATTAAGACCTTGCACGGTGGTCACCGCCAACAAGAACAGCGAGAGATATCTGGCCGTGTTGAATCGCATTCTGAATAAAGTATCAAGGTATTGAAGATGATTAGAAGGATGTGTGCTGAGCAAAAATGCAAGAGACGCACCATGTTTTATACGCTTCGTTCTCGCAATGGGACCCCAATCCAGATAAATGTTGTGTTTGCCCTTCGCGGGCGTTGAGTAGAGGATGTCATTACGAGGCTTGATCAATATGCCATGAGCAAGGACCGTTCAGCTTCCTGTATGACCTTCAATTAGTTCATTTAGAGACAGTTTTCTCTCTCTTGGAAAGGATGAAGACACTCACAATGTGGGCGAAAGTCGTGTAAATTGCTCATGGTGGTCATGACGAAGGAGTTTGTTTGGTCAATATTTGTCAACAGCTTCTGAACATGTGAGGCAAAAATTTGGACCGTTTGCTTCGACCCTGACTCTCGTCCTGCGATAGACCGTTTTCCGATTCTAATGTTGCGCATATCCTGTAGTGAGTTTTAGTTTCACGTTTTGCTTTTACTGTAGCAGCAAATTTTCTATCAGAGGTAGGAGGTCTCTAAACTCCTGATTCGCGAGTTTGTACGCGGCCAAATTTCAGAATTTCATTCCTCGGTGTTTCGAGGGCCTTTCAGAGGTTACCAAGTTGCGCCACTTTCACAACATTTCCTCAAAGTTCGAGCTAAGCCGCATCGTCAATATAAGGCTACAATACCGTACGCATACCTGGGGAACTCGGAACCGATGTAGCGAAGAGGAACTTCTATCCAAAAGGACAGAGGCAAAACACAATCACTGGCAGACCCATCGTCTGAGCTCGCAGTGACGCGTTCATTTAGCACTATTTCTCTCACGGCAATATAGCACTGTCAAATTCCTGGTACCGTAGCTTCGTACGAGTAACCTGGACCAACCCAACATCCGCCACCCGTTTGACGTTGTTACCAAGTTCCCGTAACTTGCTGTGGCCTACTAGTACACCTCCCGAGTCCCGAGCACCCCGTCCCCGCGGTCATAACTCGAAAGGCGGCTTCAATCGCGCAATGGATGAGATCATGGACTGCCTCAAGGGACAGATGAGCACCGAATCGTCTTATCTCATTTGTGCAAAGCGGCCGTAGATCGCGTCGACTCAGCCATCAGTCACAGTGGATAACGAGCGATACGTCGGTGCACGATCCCACAGTGTGAACTTTGTGGGCTCTCATGTTCCCTTTGATGTAGTCGAAGTTACGATATCTCCCTAGCTTCTTCTAGTGACAGCTCATAACGACAATATAGGGAATAATTTACGTGGGTAATAATGCTAGTAGCTCTAGTAGTTGGACATGATATATGATAGCACGCGGCCGCCCGTCGCGCCACAACAAAGTGATGAGGCAAGGGCGACTCTGGAACGTCAAGACTCGCGATGTAAAGGGCTCTGTGGACACTGAGTACTGAGCATGAATCAAACGAGACAGCGACAGAAAGGGTGTTTACATATTCTGAGGAACTCGAGATATCGACGCAAGTGTCAGCCGATCACGTCAGGTCACTCTCGCTTGGGAACGTTCTCCGTCGAGTCTCGACCGAGGGTAATCATGCTAACGAGGTTGATGATGTGGGACGACTCAGCAAGAACTATTTCGGTATGCCTAACCTTTTGTAGTAGGGGCATCCTGAGTAACCATCCCGTCTTCTGAGTCGAATAAGAGTAATGTACTCAGCAATGGGTCCATGGCATATAAGTTCTATTGAGATACGATGGTGCGCAGGTGACGGTAGAGCGGTACTACGTAGGAGCCAAGGAAGTAAGGTCCTGTTCCTGGCAGTGGCGGAAGCATTCTCAAATCCCCACAGCCGCGGTCCGGAGGTTCCGGCTGGACTTCACGTAATACAGCTTACGAAGGCTGTGTCGCGGCTCCTACTCTTCCTTTCCTACCTCCAAGAGCTTCCGGGCCTTGTTTCCTACTCTGTCAGCCAAACCAGTCATCCCTCTTATACAACCCGCTAGGCATCTCTTGTCTCCCGACGAAACAAAGTACACACCCAGGTCAGCTGCTGTTGAATGGCAGTGGTCTACGGTGCCATTCTCCGAGCTACGTCACCCGTGTGTGTCACTGTCGTTTTCTGACTAGGGCGAAGCTAAAAGTGTGTGCATTCTACGTCGAGTTAGGGAGGGCGGGTTTCTCATACCCTAAGTTTCGGTCACTGATGGCGTTTCCGATCCCAAAATATACACCAATGACCACTCGGGTCCTAGCTCGAGGTGGGACTCGTGAGATGGAAGATAACTATCTAGTAATCGTCAAGTCTCCAACTCAGTACAATTTTCTCAAACAATCCAAGGATTTCAAATTCTGTACGATTTTCGATCGATTAGCCAGGTGTCGTGGAAAACAAAACATGTTTACACCTCATTCCTGAACTCGTCATTCACGCCGTCGTCCGTGATCGACCGTTTCCGCAGAGGAGTCTCGCCTCGTCGCGGTACGTCCACAGCAAGCAGTGATCCATTAGTCGGGATTTCAATATTCGCAGATCCAGATTGATATTCACATCAGATACTACCGATTACCCGTCAGACGTTTTTACTACCGTCTAACCGCCTACCGCTTACGGTTCCGCGTTTTGCTCATATTCCGCGCCCCCGAGTCCCATTACTACCGCTCGCCGCTCGTGCATAATACTATTAGAGCTGGGGTCCGCATCCTTGTCGATCTCTTTCTCCTCTTCCCCCACTTCCTCTTCCCCCTCCCTCCCTTATCGACGATGGCCTCTACGACAGACGCTTTGCAAGGCAACACTACGGGCAGTACGATCAGTGCCCCGATCGTCGTTGCCACATCTCTCCTTGATGTTGTTTGGACGCCGGTTATCGTGGTAGTCGTGAGTAGATCATGAACACCTTCTGCCATCTTCTTCTGACTGACATTACATCTTACACCCATAGATCCCGTATATCCTTTATGGTACGATTCAGAAGAGGCCCCTTCCTCGCCTCCACATCTGACTCAGTGTCGCCTATAGGGCTCTACTCTGTTCAACTAGCCACATCCCTCCTCGGGTTCGGGTCAGGATCCAAGAAACGAAAGATGATTGCGGGGGTGGCGCATCGGGTTCCTCTCACAGTGATGTACCTCTTGGTGACGATAGGGCTTGCATGCATCGGGTTTCTGTCGTATTTGAATATCAATACGTATGTTGCTGATATTCAAATGCGGAATGAAGGCGAAGCTGGGTTCGAGGGGATGGAGGCTGATGAGTACATCAGGAGGTGAGTTGATCTTTCGGTCCCAGAAAAGGGATACTTACCTTTGTTACTCATGTGAAAGGATATCGCTGGAGCGGGTTATTCAGAGTGTGATGGTTCTTGCAAAGTGAGTGTGTGCCCAGTTGAACTGTTCGAACTGTTACTCACCCATCTTCAAAATCAGTTGCTTGAATAACGGGATTTTGGTACGTTCTACACTACTTTCTTCCTTTCCTCCTCAGTGGATCTCCAACTCAACCTACGCTCCCAGTTCTGGCGACTCCGGACAATCTGGGATGCCCAAACACGATCGAAGGAGGCACTACTCTTGATCCCCATATTCCTCTCCGTAGCCAACGCCAGTACGTCCCTGTCCCTACCCTCTCGCCCCATCGCTAAACGTCCCTTCCTCTTCTAGTATTCGGCATCTTAACCCTCTCTCCCTTCTCCCCACTCTTTGTCCCCGCCACACCCACACCCGCCCAAGCCAGCGCTAACTTCTACAATTACATCCCCTCGCTGAATATCGACCTATCAAGGTCGATACCCGCGATGAGCGTCAGTATGCGATCGGGGTTGATGAGGATATACGATGTTTCGACTGTGTTGGCGAGTGGGGTGGGCGGGTTTATGATTGGTGAGTGTGTGTGGGTTTCTCGAGGGGAAAGCGGGAGTACTGATGTGTACATGCAGCTGGGAGGCTTTTCTATGTGTCGTGTCGGAAGACGAGGACTATGTACGGGCACTTGCGCCTACCCTATCCTTTTTAAACGAGGTACTGACGCACCTATAGCTTCCTCGACTCGGGTCTTCTCTATCCGACCACTTTGTCGGCGTATATATTCCTGCAGCTTCTACAATCGCTCGCACAGGCTCGAGCTTGGGATGAGCGTAGCTCGGGAGTTATCGGAGAGCGGGAGAGGTTGAGGAGAAAACTCTTGATATGTGCAGAGGTGGTGTATCATTCGTTGTTGCCGGTTTTGGTGAGTTTGTGTTTGAGTCTTCCGTTTCCTACTTCGAGTTGTGCTAATACTGCGCCTGCAGGGAATCACGACGACTATGGTTATGACGCGATTACGTGCGACACGTTCCGTCCCTACTAGTACTAGTGCTCAACCCGTCGACCCGGAGAACGCTCCCGCCAAACTACTTTCACCTGGACCCGGACCCTCACCTTTGTCTCAGGAGTTGCGTCCAGAGGAAGAAGAAATACAAGAAGCCACTTGGAGCGTTCCCTCCACTCGAGATGCTGCGAATGAAGTGTAATTGTAACTTGTACCTTGAACCCGAACGATTTATGTATGTTTAGCTATAGTGGATCGTGTACCGTAAAACCTGTATTTACCTGTCCTCTCGGTCTTTGTATTATGTTCGTATCTTGTACTTTAGTAGCCTCCCGAAACACGGTTACTCCTCCCAGTTCTATGAATGGCTTTGCGGTGGGAATCGTTATGTATTATGCACGCAACCAACCACCTTGATTTAGTAACATCCCTCTTAGGTCAGTGGTAGAGCGCTTCACTAGTATAAGGCGTTCCTAAAGTCCTTACTGATGAAGAGGTCAGTCGTTCAAGTCGGCTAGAGGGAATTGGCTAAATGTCCTGGTTGTTTTACGGTCACTACTTTTTCATGAAACAAAGGACTCAATCCCTCCATCCCTACCCTTACTCGAGAACAGAGTCTCCTACAAGCTCTGACGGAGGGAAGATACCATCGCGAGCGGCGTCCTGTCTACAGTTGCGAAACTGAGGTGTTGGTACCATATATAAGAGCAACCTACCGACTGACTATAAATCCCTCTTAGCTCAGTGGTAGAGCGCTTCACTAGTAGGCCAATGGCTATTGTGTTCAGTATACTATGAAGAGGTCAGTCGTTCAAGTCGGCTAGAGGGAATGGACTGGGCAGAGTGATGTTTTGTCACTACCTTTTCGCGAAACGAACAGTTGGGTAGACCCACCCGCAAACAGCCTCTCCTCTGAAGTTCGGCCGGTGGGAAATTATCGTGGGCTTCTTGCTACGGTTGCAAAGTTGGGGGGCACTATCTCACCAAGTAAACGACCTATCACTAATCATCTGAATCCCTCTTAGCTCAGTGGTAGAGCGCTTCACTAGTATGTTATGAGAATTTTTCTCTATATACTATGAAGAGGTCAGTCGTTCAAGTCGGCTAGAGGGAACGTTACTTTTGCCAGCTGCTTTTTCTAAGGCCTTGGGCACATCGAACCAACTTTTTTAGTGTATGTATGATATGCATTTGAAAAAGCCTCCCCTAATACGTATGTACTCTATATATTCCGTTCCGCGAGAGATGTACTTATAGGAGACAATAACGATAGGAAAAAAACTCTATTCCACGTCTACGCGACCTACGCAGCGAAATCCTCATCAGAATTGATCTCGTATCCCCACGAAGTCCATATTATGGGAGCCTGCACATCATCTACACCATCATCCTTCGCGCCGACAACACCTCGGACTTGGAAAGCTGCTTTGCGCTACAAGGAACGAATAAGCACAATTTATCCCCAAGAAGAAAAAAGGAAAGAGGAACTCACCAAACCCAAAGTAACCTTAATCGCCGGAGGCCCAGAATGATAATCCTCCAACTCCTCCCACGCACCCTCCTTCCCTTCCTCCTCCAACGCAGCATTGTTAATCAACCTAACAATATTCCTCCCAGCAACCTCCCCTTGCCAGTACGCCGTATGTCCAGCTTTGATCGCACCAAACGCATCCGCTGAATCGCCTACACAGAACATATGTGGGTATGGGGTCCACTCCCTCGTCGTAGGCTCCTCCTCCTGCTGCTGCTGCTGGTCGACTTCTTCCTCGTCCGACTCCGAGGAGGCGGAAGACAACGAAGGCGACCTCTCCCCCCTCTTCTCCCTCTCCAAAGCTTCCTCCTCAGCTAACGAAATCTTCTCCAACGCAGCTTTCAACTGTTCCTCCGGACTCTGCACAGGTGCCGTCGCTTCAGCCTCGGGGTTGTCCAGACTCTCGACTGCAGCTTTTTCAGTCTCCGCCGGCAGCTCGGGTTCAGCTGGGGTAGCCACATGCGGTGAGACGATTTTAGATGGGGTCAAGACGCCTAGTTGCATCGTACGTAAAACGTGTGCGAGGTTGTTGGCTGGGTTGATCGTGTTGGGGTCCATCTCTTTGAGGAAGGATGTGTTGGGGTTTTGACCAGTGCAGAGCATCTAACGAAGACAAGAGTTTGTTGAGACATTGCGAGAGACTGGGGGGGCTGTGATTACGGTACGTACCACGAGATCCGCAGCGATTTCTCTGCCCTTGACGGTTCGAACGACTCGTTGACCTCGGTCGTTGAGTTTGGCGTTGGCGTCATTGGCGGAAGAGAGATCTAGACGTTCTCCGAGGATGACGTTGACGTTGAGGGATTCGAGGCCTTTGAGGACTGGAGGGCGAGAGCATCACGTCAGTTTTTTCTTGCCACCGGAAAAACAGAAAGTGGAGCCACCTTCGAGATGAAGCTCCTCATCGTACGCGGGCATTAGTCGATGACGGGAGTGCAGCAACGTGACAGATTTGGTTGGGTAAAGGTCCGCGATGTCGGTGGCAAACTCTGTAATGAACTGTCTGTCAGAATCTTGGCGGCCACGCGCAGCGCGGAAACAATCCAACTTACGAATGCCGAGAGCACCACCACCGACGACGAGAACGCTAGGTGCTTCCTCTACGACTTTCTGGTTATGCTTCAACCATGCGACGCTGTCCTTCTTCGTTCCGTTGTATGACGGGTTCGAGATCTTCATGACACCCAACGAAGGGAGGGGACCCCAGAGGTTGAGAGGATCAGGGAGCTGGGATCCGAGTGCGTAGACACAGTAGTCAAAGTCGAGTCGAGTTGTTGGGAGGCCATGTTCTGGGAAGGCTTTGGATAGGATGGCGTGATTGGGGTGTACTGAGACGACGGAGGCGTGTAAAAGAACGTGAGGTGATTCTCTGATAGCATTGTTTTTCCAGAAGACTCGGGTGTATGGGACGACTGTAAGGCCAAGTTGAGACCCTTGGTAATCGCGGTTGGAGGGTGGGGGTCAACTCACAGGCTTTGTTTTCATGCCCAGGGAGAACTGCAAGCCTAGGCATCACATAGACGTCTGAATTCGAATTGAAGTGGGTGAAATCGAAGGGTAGATTAGATCAGAATTTGACATACGATTGAAGTGTCTGTTGGAACAGTAATAAGCTCGTGTGCCACAGTAAACCAAGTGATTATTCGAACGCACGTATTCCGATCCACAAGAACAATTCTCCATCCTTCAGGCAGACCAGCAGCTAGTATCTGTGCTGCACGGTTTCCTATATCGCCCGGTCCCGTCTTAGTCGATGAAGAATGACAACAAATCTCCACGGACCTCCATAAGCAGCACCTAACACCGCAACAGTTTTCATCTGCGTTCCAGTTGAATCCGAGACCATTATATCGCAAGGTAAGAGCGATGAGACTAAGAGTACGAAGAGGAAAAAGGACACCCGGTAAAGAGAGAGACACAAAGAAACCGGGGTTTGGGTCGTGGTAAGTGGTCAAGCGGGGGGTTCAGTCCTGTTGATTGATTCAGACCGCCTCCACTTTTTATCTGATAAAATCCCACCATCAGGATCGGCCCACAATGGAGTGGCAGCCCCGATCCGATTATTTCCGATTTGGGTAATCCCGGTCACTACCCTGGAGCGATTCCCGGCCTGGCGTTTTCCGTTACCCGTAAGTATCTCAGACTTTTCTCACTGACACCACGTTCAGACTTCGAGTTCCCGTCGTGGTGGGAGATTCGATGATCCGAATCGATGGTGAGAGATTTGAATGCTTGTACAGTAACCCTCTGACGAAGCAAAACGGATTAGCATTCCTCAGCTCATTATTATTCAAGCAGCCATGATACCATTTGCATCATACGTTGACTCATCGCGTACCTTGCGCTTCTAGATAAGATCGTGCTTATCGGATCATATCTCATATCATATCAGCAAAGATAACTCAACAGCCCTGAGCTTGGACCCTTCTCTGGGCGGCTTGGTTCTGCGGATGTCTATGGATCCTGGTTGGATGTTGATGAGTAGGTCCAGAAGGGACCCAGTAACCTTGAAATCTAGAACTCAATCGCCTCGGAGGCAGAGCGGGCTAGCCTATCAATGGTTGCCCTTGCCAATGGAATAGCGGAGAACGGAGGCACAGGGTCTCTTCGCCCGCAGTCCCTCCCAAATAAGTTGAAATATACGTGTTTTCTGGAGTTTTTTGAAACATGCATGGCGATGCACGCAATTTACGCAAGAGCGGATGTTACGGTCATTGTTTGAAAGCTATGTCGGCGGACGCGGTATAACTTAAAGCATCGCTGTTCGACGATTTACTTCTTGAAGACGTCAGACATAAAAACATAGGTATCGCGACAAGTCATCGCCGAGTCAACTACTAGTACACGAAACGGAATGGTACTTTAGTATTCTCTAGTTGACGTCCTGCATGCACGCAAGGCTACTATGTATAAATGATAGACAAGTAGCATGATAATTTAGACTAAAACAAACCGGTTCTTGATTCTCACCAAAACCCGAAAATATCATCATCATTCAAGGAACGATCACGAGCCTTGAACAAACTTTTAGAGTGTGTCTTCGTTTCCATGCTAGAGCCGAGACGAGAAAAAGTTCCAGGCTTTGTGGTGACATCGACGCGTGAAAGGAACCTAGATTTTTGAAGAATGCGGCATGCCGAGCCAAAGAAGCTGTTGAGACGCGTTACAGTTTCCGATCCCGAGTCCCGCAGTCCAAGTCTTCTTGACGACGTGCAACTCAGCAGTTGATCAGATTCATAGCCTACCCATGCTTTGCGCTACACCGTGAGAGTGTTCATCCATAGCCAGCACAGAAATATGCGATGCGAAGGAATCGAGGCGTGGAGGAGGCTTTGATGTTTACAAGGGATCATACTTTTGGTCGGCCGGCTGGTTCTTGTGGCTCTTGACGGGGTTGAACGTCGAACGTAACGTTGAACCATACATTTTCTACAGGATTCGTGCGATCAGCCGCAGAGATCGTTGTAGAGAGGAGAAAGGTGTCTGACCCTAACCTTGGCCTGAGCACACGCTCAAGGAAAGACGACGGCCCGGGTCACCACTTCGACGTTCGACCTCGACCACCATCGGCTCCAAGACCTCTCCGACTCTAGCTCGCCCTGAGTTCCTTCTATCTGGCTCGAAGTTTTGTCACTTTCTGGAACAATAAATCTTACAACGATGCATCGACTCTCGAGGCCGGTAGGAAATCATAAACAATCAGAACTAGACGAACTTCTATAACCTAGCTATCTAGAATGACATGAATATTGATCCAGGATCCTCCCAGACAATCCGGATATGGGAACTTTCGCTCTTGCACCCTTCTTTTCCCTCGCCAATCACCTCAAGTTTCTTCATACTGGTCGAACTGGATATTGGAAGACAGCGTGCTTGACTCTGGCAGCACCAGAACACCCAGCCTACTGACTACCGAGTGCGCCCAAACTCGAACCTCGTTGACGTCACCCGAACGTTCTACCACCGGAAGCAAGACCTCAGGCGGTAAATTGACATACCGCCTGAGAGGCGATAGGTATGGCGATATGCATGGCAAAGACCACCTGAGTTTTTTTAGCCTCGGGATTGGCAAACCATGCCTCAACCATGCGTACCGCCATACATATCGCCTCTCAGGCGATATGTCAACCTACCACCCGAGGTCTTGCCTCCGGTGTACAGACCTAACGCGAGCCTCCTTTCACCCCATCGCGAACCTCCTCCTCAAACCTCGAGTTTTAGCCGTCCTCCGGCCACTACCCTGAGCGTCCGGTCATTCTGTTGTTCGTGTCACGAAACACATTTGTCGATCATCAATACAGGTGTTCAAGCAATCCAGCAGATCCTGTTGGCCTTTAAATCGGTTACAAGACTCGTTTGATTTCGATATAAATGTTGATCAAGTGGGACGGGGGGGGGTCATAGATTTGGCGTCGCGTATAGATAGTCGTTTCAGACTATCTTGTGGGTCCGAAGGTGCGTCGTTCGAGAGGCTGTTCGGATTTACCATTTGATGATTTTTTTGAATCGCCTTTGAGGAAGACATATCGGCGTCTGCACTGAACTTTGTGGACACGTTGGCAAGGCGACACAGAGGGCCAGAG